CTTTTTCATAAATCCTATAGTTAGACTTAGGTTTCCTGAATTATTCCTCATTTCTGCTGCTATAGACTTAGACTGCTGGAGCACAAACTGAGCTCTGAACCTTTCTGGGTTCGGTCCTCTGGGAGCTGCCAGTCTAACATCACCCTCCTCTTCCTCAGAACCTTCAGCCGGTCCTGCTCCTGTTTGAACAAACTTTAAAGCTTGGGTCCAGGCGGGTTATTTCCTGCTTCAGTCTCAGGATCCTGTTCCTGCTGAGTCCGGTTCTGTTTGTTGTTTCAGACCTGCTGTTTGAGTKTGCAGGGTCCACATGAGGACAACAAACACAGGTGTTTCCTACGACCAACAAATCCATCTGTGGAGGACCCAAAACATCAGAACACTGCTCAGCTGGACGTGGTCCAACTGAAAACCCAAACCTGACAGCAGAACCTGGTTAGAGCCAGTCCTGTTTGGACCTGCAGCTCAGAACCATGTGTCACAGGTGAAGATCTGTCTTCAGTCAGAGTCTCTGCTGGAGGACTGATGGTTCCTGTCAGAGGTCAGAGGTCAAACGTCCAGTGACGGATTGGATCTGAGCTCAGATGAATTTCTGTGAAGTCTCAATGCAGAGCCTTCAGAGTCTTCAGAGGCTTCAGATCCTTCAGAGCCTTCAGAGCCTTCAGAGCCTTCAGAGTCTTCAGAGCCTTCAGAGCCTTCAGAGCCTTCAGGGCCTTCAGAGCCTTCAGAGCCTTCAGAGCCTTCAGAGCCTTCAGAGCCTTCAGATCCTTCAGAGCCTTCAGAGGCTTCAGAGTCTTCAGAGCCTTCAGAGCCTTCAGGGCCTTCAGAGCCTTCAGAGCCTTCAGGGCCTTCAGAGTCTTCAGAGTCTTCAGAGCCTTCAGAGCCTTCAGGGCCTTCAGAGCCTTCAGAGGCTTCAGAGGCTTCAGAGTCTTCAGAGCCTTCAGAGTCTTCAGAGCCTTCAGAGCCTTCAGAGGCTTCAGAGCCTTCAGGGCCTTCAGAGGCTTCAGAGTCTTCAGAGTCTTCAGAGGCTTCAGAGCCTTCAGGGCCTTCAGAGCCTTCAGGGCCTTCAGAGCCTTCAGAGCCTTCAGAGTCTTCAGAGCCTTCAGAGCCTTCAGAGGCATCAGAGCCTTCAGAGGCTTCAGAGCCTTCAGAGGCTTCAGGGCCTTCAGAGGCTTCAGATCCTTCAGAGGCTTCAGATCCTTCAGAGGCTTCAGAGCCTTCAGAGGCTTCAGGGCCTTCAGAGGCTTCAGATCCTTCAGAAGCTTCAGAGTCTTCAGAGTCTTCAGAGCCTTCAGAGCCTTCAGAGCCTTCAGAGGCTTCAGAGGCTTCAGAGGCTTCAGAGCCTTCAGAGCCTTCAGGGCCTTCAGAGGCTTCAGAGGCTTCAGAGGCTTCAGGGCCTTCAGATTCTTCAGGGCCTTCAGAGGCTCCTGCTGCTAAAACACTGAACAAGGTTCTTCTTCTGTGGTTTTATTGGTGGTAGACGACTCATGAAGTGCGTCACTGCCACCACTGGACTGGAAGGTGCAAACCTTACAGC